ACCCTCCAGCTCCAACCGAACCTCCAGCAGCTTGGAGAGAGGACTGCAAAGTCCAAAGTGCTTCCGAGCTGAGCTCAGCAGAACCAGCAAATGCCTTCTGAGGTCAAGGAGCTCTTCTTTCTGGGGCTGCGCAGCTCCCGGACCTTCCTGCCTGAGCCGTCCCGTCCCCGCCTGCACACAGCCCGCCCACACCAATGTCACGGCAGAAGCACAGAAAGCTGTCACACTGTCTGACCTGGAGCAGGTGCTGATACCTGCTGGCTCGTTTCTAGCCCAGGTCAGAAGTAAGCAAAAGTTTGTATTTAAACAGCATCACCTGGGTATTTGAACCTGGATAGCACTTTCCTATTACTTGGGGAAACTTATCTGCAAAGGGGCCCCACAGGCTGTAATAGAAACGAATCCTGTAAGAGTTCATGGCCCTTCCTAGCCCCATCACCTGAGCAAAGGTGTCCATCCCATCGCTAAGCATTGCAGGAGTCAGGAGAGGTGAGGCGTGAATGGGTGGTCTTCACAGGGAAGGTTTGGGTGACCCTGAGAGCAGACTCACTAGTATCCTGAAGAGGCACAGGGCCCCTCTTTCCGGCCTCACACCCACTGTTTTCCTTCACACGTGCACCCCGCCTCCCCGCGCTGGCCAAGCCTTCAGCTGGACATGCCAAGGGGAGTTGCTTCGGTCCAACCCAGGTGCACGACACATCATAAATCCCACACCGTGGTCCTGCTTTCATGACTTGTGCAGCCAGCGTTTGCGAAGTCCTGGGGTTTGATGTTTTCAGAAAGTGTCAGAGAAGCCCTGAACTGAAGAGGGGGCAGGGACAGGTCTGGTGACTGTCCCTGTTCTCCCCGGGACACTCTCCTGGCCTCTCTTCCGTCTCTTCCTGGCGGATAGAGCAGCTGAGTTCTCACAGAGGCAGCGCGCTGATTTGAAGGGGACACTTCCATAATTTGTCATTTCCAGGTAGGACAGGTGTGACAGGAAGGTCCCCATTAGGAATCTCCTCCTCTGATTTAAAAAAAAAAAAAAAAAAGCTGGCTATCGAATCAAAGAGAATGGCCAGGTTTGTTTGTTCTTCCCCAAAATATCCAATGATGAGCTGGGGCTTGCCTGCTGGTTGTACCTAATGCTTCAAAATAGAGACCAATTAAAGGTTTACCCTGGGCCATTCATCATGTCAGATTACAGAGTCCCTCCCCACAGCGGTGAGTCCCCGTCCTGTCAGCGCTGACTCAGTCCTTTGCCCTTAGATCTTGTCATCAGCGTGGCCCCGTGAGAGGCCCACCCGGTGAGGAATTTCGTTTTATCTCAGTATTTAGGGAATCCCATGAGCGCCCAGCATCTGGGAATGCAGGATTGCCATCAAGGCCTCAGGGCCTCTCTGGAGCCGTAGATGCAGCCTGAGGTGATCTGACAGTGAAGCCTCCTCTGTCTTCAAAATGTTGTGTCTTGTGGTCACTGCACTCGGGGCTCCAGCCACCTTGGATGTTCCCGTCCCCCGATGCCGCGGACCAAAGCGCTGGGTGCATGATGGACTCGAGGCCTTCTTTCCATCGGGATATTTTGGCAGCTCCTGGCATAGCCGTCACTCGCGAAGGACACCTGAGGGAGCATCCAGAACCGCCAGCGCCAAGGCGACTCGGAAGCAGAACAAGGAGAGGAAACAGACTCTCCCAGGCCCAATAGATGCACTTTAAAACTCCAAGTACTTCTAAATGGCTTGGCATCAAGTTAGTGATCAAGTGATAGCTGTGTGTTTCTTATTTTTGGTCCCTGAATTTACATTTCTGCACGGTAAGGTTGCTGAACAAATCAATACCCGCATCCCGAGATGCAGGCCGCTCGGGTCCAACAGCTGCGGGCGTTTGGGACTACTTGGATCTCCCTCTGACTCGCTCCTGCGTTTCTGTTCTTTATTCCCCAAGCAGACACTCACTCTGACCCAGATCACTCGGTGATTAGGGTCGATTCATGTTTAAGCTTTGAAGATTAGAGAGAAGAAGAAATGGCCACCGCTTCCCATTCTATTGGCTTTTAAAAAACTTTAAACTTTAGAAACTGAACACTTGAACAAAATGCGTAATATTACAAGTTCACTAAAGGAATTCGTCCACATTTCTGCCATGTTAAATGTTAGCAAAGTTTATATTGGACTGTCATATTTCTTTACTTTATTCACCAGCGTACAAGACGTCGATCTCAACATCTGGTTTTTAATAACCCTCGACATCTGGGAGCTCCTTTTTATTCCTATGGTGGACGAGGCACAGTAGTGATATTGGCAGTGTATATTTTCAAGCTACAACTCCTGTCTCATTCAATCATAATTAATTACCACTTTTTAATGTATTTAATTTGCTAAAAGTGATTTGCATTAGACCGCATTTCACTGCTAAGAAAACAGTGGTTGATTTTGGTGACAGTGGCTTTCCTGTTTTCTTCCTTTCTTCTTTTTTAAAACTTAAAGCCGTGTGGGAATGGATTCGAAACAAACTGAATGTATACACGCTCTCAGGTTATAGATGCAAAATGAAATAAACCGCTCTGCGAGGAAAGTGATTTTATAGTCTTTTAAGAGCCGTCAGAGGCTGTAGGCTACGTCACAGGGAAAGCGTTTTGTGCTGTGACTTGGGCAAATCGCAGCCTCTCTCCACGCCTGGAGTTTCCTGTAGCAGTAACTCCAGAGCTCAAGAACCTCATGAAGCCTCCATCCAGAGAATGTGCTTTTACGCATCCCCACAGGTTCTGCACTGAATGTCGAGGGGTTGCTAGACCCCTGGCAACCCATTTGTGGGTGCCTGGGGTCCCATGCTGTAGACTTTTTCTTTTCCTTTTTTTTTTTTTTATCCTCACCCGAGGACATTTTTCCATTTTTTGTTCGGACAGTGGAAAGGGGAGAGAGGAAGAGAGAGAGAGAAACATCGATGTGAGAGGGACACATCGAGTAGCTGCCACCCACACGACCAACCAGGGCCGGGGATAAACTGCAACCGAGGTACACGCCCTTAGCGGGAACCGAACATGGGTCTCTCTGGACCAAAGGCCGAACCAACCAGGGCCTTTTCCTTCTTTATTAGCATAAAAAGGGACATCGACTTTGCTTTTCTCCAGGAACTGAATGGAAGCTTAATGAATGTAAAGATACATGTTTCTCAAGTTTATGTAGGAAAAAGAGTTGTTTTGTCAAGAGCAACTAGTACACTGTGCAGTGACAGATAAACACAGGTGGATTTTACATGAGAAGACTCAGCCAAAATGAATAATTGTACCTTGTTTTTTAGCCAGAACATCCCTATCGAAACTGCCCAGTGCGAATTCATACCGAGTTGTGCAGCTCAGACCGTGTAAATCTAGTGCACTTATATCGGTTGGGGATTCTCAACCCTCTGTGGTCCATGTCACTTTGCCAGTCTGCTGAACTCTTTGAACCTCTTCTCAAAACAATATTTTCAAATGCATGAAATAAAATACGAAGAAATAAAAAGAAAAGCGATCACATGAAAATCCAGTTCAAGCCCTGGCAGGTTTGGCTCAGCGGTTAGAGCATCAGCCTATGGACCAAAGGGTCTCAGGTTCGATTCCCTGTCAAGGGCATGTACCTGGATTGCAGGTTCCATTCCTTGCCCTGGTCAGGGTCATGCGGGAGGCAACCAATCGATATGCCTCTCTCATATCGATCCCCCCCCCTTTCATTCTATCTAAAAATCAATGGGAAAAGATCCTCAGGTGAGGATTAACAAAAAAGAAAATTCAGTTCAAGACCACAGATCTAAATCTTTGAGTAGATGAAAATTACCTTTGCCTATTGGCAAGATTAGATTGAACTGTATGAAACTGCTATTTTTCTAGATCAAAAAATGGTCAGATAGTGGCAATTTCATATGACTCAACCTAATATTGCAGCAACTTAAGCAGTAAGGATCCAAAGAGTGAGAAAATGTTCCAAGTTATTTATTTATTTTTTTTCTAGTCCTGGTTTTTAACACAAGAAGCATGTCATGGCAAAACCTGGTTTCAGCAGGGATTTATTAAAGGACACAGCTCCCAAATTGCGTGTGAGAGCAGGTTGAACCACTCGTCCTCCCACACTTTGTCTTCCCGTCGTCGCCCGTGAGAATTCTTGTTCCACACGGACCCTGTGACGGTGGTCTTGTTTTGAATACACTTCTGTCTTCAAAGATTGAATTTCCCTGCTCATCTGCCACTTCACTATGTGGGGGAGATGGCCAGAGCCATTCTGGAAATGTTTCCAACAATAGGAACTCAGACCAAATAAGTTTCAGTTTACCCATGGTTGACTACAATTTTTAAGTTAAACAAGTGTTCCTGTCTATAAGCATTCTACCGAATTGGAAGTTTACTCTCTTTTCTCTGAAACTTATTGGATTGCAAATGTGCAATCACCCCATGGCATCCTCTCAGATGCTGGGAGCAGGGCAGAACCTGACAAATCCGGATCACAGCATGCTGGATGGAGCCTTTGTGAATAACCAGTGTGAACTACCGCGTGCTACCAACCTCTGTTCCGCCCAAGTAGATCTTTTTTTTTTTTTTTTTTTTAATTCTTCTTCAGCCTTTATTGATACTTTAAGCTTAAGAGAAATTAAGGGTATTTGATGACTATAATTACTTCTCTGCTTACTTAAAAGGTTTAATCTACTCCTTAGGCATATGCAATTCAGATTGTATGCTTTCCAAAAAAATAATCATCTGCTAATGTTGACTAATTTTAATCTTCTAATCCAATCTTGACACAGAGTCAGAGCTGGGTGGGTGGAATGTTTTTGTGGGGGGGTTGCCATAGCTACAAAACTCAGTTATGTATTTGACAAGTCAGTGATGTGGAACTGAAGTTACTGCGGATTTTTTCCTCTTGCGCTTTAAGATGAAAAAAAGTGAAGCTCAGTGTGCTTTTCCAGTGCATCACGGTGTAACTAACCTTCTCTTCTTTCATTCCGTCCTCCCTCCTCTCTGTGCACCTCCCTCCCCGGGCCGGCCGCAGGATGACGAGGAGGGCATATGGGCATAGCCGGGCCTGTAAACCAAAGCTCCAGATTTGTTTTGAGGGGTGAGAAACCATCTTTTATATCATTTTTCTTTAAAAGATTGCATTCTGGTGTTGTATTGTGTGTGTGATCGGTCGTGTTTGCTGATGTTTGTGACTGTGCCCTGTGCTTGCTTCTGTGTTCTGTGACCATCCCCAAATCCTCTCCTTCCTTCCCACACCCCCCCTCCCTGCCGCCACATCACTGCTCTGCCTTGCTGGGCTGAGCACGACTTGAATGTTTTGTGTTATTTAAGATGTAACCTGTGCCTTTGCTAGAATGTGTACACACTTTCTAAAAGGCATGACTGTGGACTCAGAAATCCTCACGATTGTCCAGTCATGGTTCTCAGCCCACTGGTGGCTTTGGCCAGACATGCCAGCCAAAGTGTGTGACGCTCACACCGTTCTGGAAACTGTAGGAAAATGAAACCATGTCTCTGTGTGGAGCTGAGATTGTCCGCCCTGAGGAACCCATTCATGGATTGCACTGTCTTCTACGGCGGCTCTACAGGAAACACAGGGTCAAGGCACGGTAACGGTGGCCGGGTACCTGAGCCTCTCTGAACACGTTAGAATAGAATTGTGAATACTGGCAGGTCTCCTTAGCGGCCTGTCTGTTGCTTTCTTACAACTGCGCTTTGACAGAGCTTCGCATTATAAATGTCATGCATTGCCTTTTTTAGAATGTTTTGCTCTTTTAAAGGTTGGTTTTTAGCTACTAAGAACCCACCGTTTATTTCTGTCCTATTCGCATTGTCACGGAATAGCGGTGCATGTAATCGCCACAGTTATAAACGGAAGGTTGAACTTGAGGGACGTGCGCTGCTGGGACCGCATCTCCCCTGGACACCGCAGGCTGCCTCCCATCGGCCGCAGCTCGCGGGAGCTGACTTACCTACGGTCACGTGGGATGTGGTAGGAATGCGGTAGACTGTGTGCCGTGGTCATTTCTTATGGTCAAAAAGTACTGAGTGTAGTTCCTTTTCCGGAACGAACATGAAATGCCCAGTGCGGGAGAACCGGGAGAACCCCAGGCCTGGGATAAGAGAGGCAGCTCTCTGGGGAGCCGAACAGGGGTTCCTTCCTCAGCCCTGCCCCCGCGGCCCATGGCAGGGCTTCGGAGGTAAACGATCGCGGGTGTGCCTTGCCCGTGGGTGCCACTTTCCTCGGTATGTTTTGTTGCTTGGTCTGAGCACGTGGTGCGTCCCACCCGTGAGTCAGTGCTCCCTCTGGTCCTGCAGGAACCGCCAGGGGTTGCTTTGCAGATGCACCGTCTCCTGGGCATACGGACGGGACACTCCTGGGTCCGTGCGCTGCCCAGAGGACCTGCTCCCTGGCCACGGCAGAGCCTGTCCTTGCCTCTCCCTGAGTACAGGGAGGAGGACCTGGAGCTGTGTCTCGCACGTGAGCCGTGGCTCCGAAGGACAGCTTGTCGGGACGAGGACGGGGGAGAGCAGAGACATCCTTCAGGTTCTGTCTGAAAGACTCTCCCCATGTGTGGGGAAAACTCGAAGAGAAATGTCACATTTACTCCCCTGGAAAAGATAGTAAAAGAATAGATAGACCTAAAACAATATTAAATGAGAAGAAATGGTTTTATAATGACAAAAAGCAAACATGCCCTGGCTGCTTTGGCTCAGCAGTTAGAGCGTCCGCCCGTGGACTGAAAAGTCGCAGGTTTGATTCCTGGTCAAGGGCACGTACCTGGATTGCAGGTTCGATCTCCGGGCCTGGTCGGGGTCATGTGGTAGGCAACCAATCGATGTGTCTCTCTCACATCCATGTTTCTCTCTCTCTCCCTCCCTCCCTCCCGCTCTATCAAAAAGCAATGAAAAAAAAATCCCCTGGCGAGGATTTAAAAAGCAGCGGCCGTGCCAGATCTGCGGGCGCACGGCGGGCGGGCGGGCGGGCAGGCCGGGGGGCTCGTCTGGGGGTTGCCATGAGCAGTGCGGGTCCTGGTGAGGGCTCTTCCAGGGAGCCGCTGCTTCTGCACCATCGCACGCAGGGCGTGGGCTGCATCTCTGTCTCCTCCTGCATCACAAAGGTCTGTAGTGCTCTTTCGGAAGATTCGTGACGTCCACCCTGCACCCCGGAGATAGGAACCGCGCTGTGGTCCTCGGGGTGGGACTGGCGCCAAAGCCCGCAGAAGACCTCTCTTTGCTCACGAGTTTCCCCAAACACCATGTGCCCCAGAAAACAAATGTCTTCCGAAAATTAGTCAATATATAATCCCACTTTAATACGTTGTAATAAACTTTATAGGCTTCTGAGGAAAACTACTTATCTTTCTTTATGACTCCTTTAAACAAGTTGACTCAGGTATCTTCAGGCTTTTAAACCCGTATCTTAGGGACTTAAATAACGAGATGCCGGGGAACCTCTTCTGAACAGCCGTTGCATGTTCTGAGTCACGTTACAATCTGTGGGGCCGGAGAAGACGTTAAATTTATAACTGAGGATGGATAATAGTGGCACATTAAAAATGAACTGTTTTGAATATTGTGATTTATGGCCCTTATAAAAGAAACATTACAAGAAGTTACGTTTCTAAGCATCAGCAATGTGCTTATAATAGTGTCTGAAGGCCCTGGCTTGAATCTGGTGTTTTGGTGCGAAAATGAATCATCATTTAGGAAAAGTCGTTCCACAAATGACAACAGATTGGAATCTGCAGCAATCCCAGAGCTCGTCCCTTTGTCGCCACGTCTAGCTGAGGCACGGTGTATTTCTCTCACGGTGATCATTCAAAGGTGGTGTTTTTGGAGAGCGAAGTGGACCGGGGAAAGTTTGCTTTTCCGGAGAGTTCTGACAGCCCCTCGAGCGGGCCTTCCTCCCCACCCAGTCCTCACGCCCCAGCCCATGCTTTCACGCGTGACCCACGTCGTCCACAGAATCCGAGCTTCGGTGCCCCTCCTGGCTTAATTACCTGCTGGTCACTGATGTGAGATTCTTAGTCATGTCTGAGCAGGGGGACCTACAATTTCACTTTGCACTGGGCGCTGGCAGTGACGTAGTCGATGCTGCTTAGATCCGCCATGTCCTCGGCCTCCAAATCCCCTCGATTCCCCTCCCTGATGCTCGTTCCTACTCCTATTCTCTCGAGGCCGGAATCTCCCTGGGCCGGCCTTGCCGGCTCGATCTTCCCGCAGAGTGCAGGGGCTCCCATTCCCAGCAGGTTGCCGGCTGGCACCCCTGAAGTGCGCATTCAGACTCAGTCCTCTCACCCCCACTTCTGACTGGGAAAATGTGCTCCTGGAACCCCAGCTGCATCTCCTAGCTTGCTTTGCGAATGGCAGGAAAGAGCTACTTCATTCTCCCTTGTTTGCTTTGGGGAAGCCCACTCGATGTGGCAATCATTTGTGTCGGCACATAACTCTTCATCTGCGCTGAAGGGAGGTACTTTCCTCGGACCCCCAAGAGGCACTGAGGTTGTGAACAGTTGATGAGGTGGGGCCGTGAGGGGCCAAATCAAGTCGCCTTGTAAGATCCAGTGCCACGTCGGCCTTGACATTCGAATGTCCTAGCGTGGACTGTGAGCTCTCGTAACGGAGCAGACGCACAGTACAGGGTCGTTTTTACTTCTTAAACCACTAGAAGGAAATACGTCTTTCTAGATTGGAAACACATGCAAATTTTTCGGACCTGATTCATAAAAATGCAGATGTGGGCATTACCGGCCTTCGTGGGGCTGCGATGCCAGGGCACACGTCCTGTTGGAAACGAAACGCTGTGGCCTGTGCACCCGCACGTGGCCCTGTGACCGAGTGTGAGTTTGCGTCCCCAGGCACTCGGCCCCGGGACAGGGTCCTCGCTCACAGAAGCCATGCACGAGGCCTGGTCACCCCCCCCCCCCCCGCCTCGTGTGCCTCCCCTCGGGGAGAACAAGCAAGGAGGTGTGTTTTCTGGTGGCTTGAAAGTGTGTGCTTCCTTGCTGTCCCTGAATAGACAGGGTCTAGCCGGAGGGCTGTGCTTGTCCTGGGGCGAGGGGGACCCAGTGGCAGGGAAAGAAGTCATGGGAGGGAGCCCACAGCTCGTAGTCCTCTCAAATGAAGCCCTGGTCTGTCTGCAGAGTGGCGGGGTTCCTTCACACGTCCTGTGGGGGGTGCCCAGTGGGCTTCTGATTCGGTCTAAATCTCCTATGACTAAGGGGATGATGCAGCTCCTCCTCCTGCCACTGGCCACTGAGACCTTTCATTCACTCATTCATCCGATCACTTTTCCTTCCTCATCCCTGCATCGGGTGGTTAAAGTCTCAGTTAGATGCTGAGAAAACAATGAGTAAGATGGGATTGCCGTCTTACTATCTAGCTGAGGAAAACAGAGCATACAGAATTAAAAATCGCATAGAAACCATAAACATCTTGATCATTGCTTTGATGAGAAACAGAAGGATATTGAGAGGAACAAAAGAACCTACCCCCAAAAGGACGTTCGTTGAGCATCTCTCCAAGGAAATGCGTTTTATGCCTTGAAAGGAGGAGGGTCAGGAGGTATCTGTGCCTCCAGACACAGGATGTGGACCACCTGGGAGGTGTCCCAGGCAGGTGTGCAAAGGGCTGGAGGTGGGAAAGAGAGTTATGGGCTGAAGGTGCTTGAAGACCACAACTCTTGGAAAAGAATAAGACAGTAGATGAAGATGTGGGAGGGGGGAGGGGTCAGATCTTGTAGACCAAGGTAGAGAGTTTGGGTTTTAGCCAAAGAAAAATAAAAGAATGGCCCTGGCCATTATGGCTCACTTGGTTGAGCATCGTCCCATGCACCGAAAGGTCACTGGTTCGATTCCCAGACAGGACACATACCCAGGTTTCAGGTTCAATACCCTGTCGGAGTGCGTACAGGAGGCAACCAATCAATGTTGTTTCTCACACTGACGTGTCTCCCTATCCTTCTCCCTTCCTCTTCCTCTATAATCAATAAAAACATACTTCAAAAAATAAAGGAAGAAAAATATGAAAAGAAAATCATTGGCTTTTAAGCAGGGACATGCCATGGTTTGATTTGTGTTGTAGGACAACCCTGCT